GGGGCGAGGGCAGAAAACCTGCTGCCAAAATCTAAACTTATCCTGGCTCCCCACATCCAGGAGTAAAGGGAAAAAATACAGGTTTAGCATAAAAGAAAGGTCCCTGGGTAGTGCAAAAGGTTTGTGTTCAACAGCTAAACAAAATGTTGGTGCTTTGAACCCACCCAGCAGTGCCGCAGAAGAGACTTGGCAATCTGCTCCTGTAAAGATTACAATCAAGAACAACCTATGGAGCACAGCTCTACTCTGTAACACACAGCGCTGTCATGAGTCAGAATTGACTCGACAGCAAAGGGTTTGGTAGCGTGAAAGATCTTTGGCATCTTGCAACAAAATAAAATCAGATGTATGTGATTTATATCAGTAACTAGAGTGCCCAGGACTTAGACAATCATCATATAGGTGTCCTTGGAAGGGACTGACACCTGCTAACAGGAATGCGGTTGTATTGCATATCACTGAGTGGTGTCACGTTGCCCGGGCACGAAGGGAACTGGAGTGAACTAGGTTTCCAATACTGGCCTCATCCTGCTTTTATAGTCATCATGGTCCCTTAGGTTCCTGGAGCAACGCAGAGGAGAAGAAACTGCCTCACAGGACCTTGGAATTTTTGCACTGATGTTACTACAGGCCTCATGGGCAAGTCCTGGGAAACAGTAATAATAATGGTGATGCTGAGGTTGATGATAATTGCCATGCGTTGGGTATCTCCTGTTTTCCGGGCCCTGTGCTGGACCCTTTGCTCACTCTGCTTCATTTACCCTTCAATTCCATTAGGTATTACCATGCTCCATGCCCATAGGAGAAAACTGAGACTCCGAAAGGGTAAGAGGTGGAACCAAGATCACATCATTGGTGGGTGGCAGGGTCAGGATTTGAAACTTTATTTTTTTTGGCACTAAAGCCCACGGGTACTCCCACTGCACAAACACCACTTGACTGAAGATTAGAGGATCTTGTCCAGACGCCTCCTGAATCTGCCCTCCTCACATCATCACTGCAACCCCATTATCTAATGAACAGCCAGATTCATTACAGAAAAGATGGTATTATGGTTTGAATTATGTCCCCCCAAAAATGTGTGTATCTATTTGGCTGGGCCATGATTCCCAGTATTGTGTGGTTGTCCTCCATTTTGTGATTGTAATTTTATGTTAAAGAGGATTCGGGTGGGATTGTAACACCCTTACTAAGGTCACGTCCCTGATCCAAAGTAAAGGGGGTTTCCCTGGGGTGCAGCTTTCATCACCTTTTATCTTACAAGAGATAAAAGGAAAGGGAAGCAAGCAAAGAGTTAGGGACCTCATACCACCAAGAAAGCAGTGCTGGGAGCAGAGCTTGTCCTTTGGACCCAGGGTCCTGTGCAGAGAAGCTCCAATTCCGGGGGAAAATTGATGAGAAGGTCAACAGAGAGAGAAAGCTTTCCCCTGGAGCTGACGCCCTGAATTTGGACTTTTCGCCTACTTTACTGTGAGGAAATAAACTTCTCTTTGATAAAGCCATCCACTTGTGGTATTTCTGTTATAGCACACTACATGACTAACATAGATGGGGTCGGGTGGTTTTCTCCTCATGAGACTTCTTTATATGCCAGTTCTAGATCTCTCCAACCCTTGTCCACGCTCCAACACTAAGAGTACCATTTTAAAACCTGGAAGTCTTGTGCCCTGAAAAATTCCAATGTATGGAAATATAAGCAGACAACTGGGTTTCCGTCAGAAGAAGGAAACGGATAAAAGAAAAGTAATACAAGAGAATCTGCTGTAGGGGAAGAAACATCGCCAAGTAGAGTAAAGCAAAAAGGAAACTTTATTCGGCATGTATTCAAAAAGGCAAAAGCGGGAAGCGGACAACCATGCTGCCAGAGCCCTGTCTGTCCAAGTCCAACGAATATTACAGAATAGGCAAGAATGGGAAAATGGACGAGCATGCTGACATAGCCATGTCTGCCCAAGTCCAAAGACCATTACAGGATCATCAGCATATATTAACATTACAAATGGGCAAAACCATTGAAAGCTTCACCTTTTCACAGATTGGCTAGAAACTGTGATCCTACATTTTGAATTGTCCTTCTTAACAATCATTGGTACAGGTTTCAGTAATGACAGTCAGGAGGGTCTTCATTGGTCCAACAAATTTCTATTCACTAAATGCTGATAGAAAAAGATAAGAATGGAAAGTCTTTCGTGTTCTGTTTGATCGGCTTTATGTGAAAAATTCCCTAAAAGATATTTTCCAAGATTATCTTAGCTATTGTCTTTATACCTCAGGGCCCAGTTGATGTGTCTTTGTGAGTCCTTGTGAGTCCTTGTGAGCCCAGCTCCAGCTGGGTCACATTCTCCACGGTCAAGGACAGGAAGTAATAACTCCAATATTATTTCCTAAATCAAATCTAAAGAACTTGGGCAATTAGGTAAATAAAGGAACATGATCAGGACCATGTTATGGATTGAACTGAGCCCCCCTAAAAGATATGTTGAAATCCTAATCTCCAGAACCTATGAATGTGACCTTGTTTGGAAATAAGGTCTTTGGAGATGTCATCACTTAAGATAACATGAAGTCATACTGGAAATAAGGTCTTTGGAGATGTCATCACTTAAGATAACATGAAGTCATACTGGAGTAGGGTGGATCCTCATTCAATATGAGTGGTGTCCCTTATAAAAGAGGAGAGGAGACACAGAGGCAAAATTGGAGCAATGCTTCTACCAACCACAGAACACCTGGGCCTACCAGAAGCTGGGAGAGACAGGAAGGACCCTTCCCCTAGAGACTTCGAAGAGAGCGTGAGCCTGCCAACACCCTCCATTCAGACTTCTGGGCTCCAGAACTTTGGGACAATACATTTTGGTCATTTTAAGTCACTCAGTTTGTGGTACTTTTTTACAACAGCCCTGGAAAATGAATACCATCAGCCCTGGAAAAAGTGAAATTGACACATGTAAATCCCTTTTTAAGAATCAGAAAAAGAAGGAGGGAGGCGCAGACCAAAATGCCGTCCTAGTTCATGCAGTACCCAGCAACTCTGTTTGAATATTAAGCCTCCACGTGGTTACTCTGGGGATTCTGTAATAGGCCCAAAAGATACTGGCTAATTTGGGAAGGGTTTATTTATTATCCGTAATGTGCAGGGAGGGAGGCAGAGGTGAAAGGAAGTTCGGTAGCTGATCGATGTCCTCAATGTTCATTTCAGAAGGTGAGTCGGATTTAGAACTCAAATTTTCCAACCCCCTGCTTGGTCCTTATCTTCTTAGGGAAAAACTGCAGTTAATTTTCAGTTGTCTACATCCTTAATGTAGAGGAGATGAGGCATAGATAATCCCAAATGTGAGTAATGCCGACACCACATCTGCCACTCTGGACACTAGCTTTGGAAGCTTCTTGAAAACCTCAGAATGAAGCCACATGGATGTGGGAGGCTGGTCAGTCCTTATTACCGCACCCTCCCTACTCAGAACCATCCCACCTCTTGCTCCATGAAGACCTAGGGCCATCAGATTAAGGGGAGGAGGCTCTTGGAAGCTTTCCTAGGTTGGGGTCGGGTAGCGGGTAGCGGGTAGCGGGAGGCAGGCAGGTAATAAGGCGATTTGGTTTAAAAGGCTTCCTGCAGGGCCACAGGCTAGCAGAACAGTAACAGTAAATGAGACAATGAATTGTGTCCTCTGAAGGCTTCCATATGGATGCCGATTCATTATGTTAATAAGGACATGAAAGCCAGAGGTTGACTGTATTCTGATTTCATGGCTGAGGGATCTGTGGCTCAGAAGGGGGGAACATCCAAATTTGAGGTCAGAGTCCAAATTCCAGCTCCGAGCTCCTGATTCCAATTTGGTTCCTCTCATTACTATCATCTCCCAATGACTAAGGATGCCCTACAGCCACACGGCTGTAACGGCCAGGACCTGAGTAGGAATGCAAGCGATGCTTAAGGTTGAGAACTGGTGAGGCTGGAGCCCAGAGGAGCCAATTCCTCATCCATTCAACAAATATTGAGCACCTACTAAGGGCAGGGAGTGGCCTTGCACTGGGAGGCAAGAGTAGAGAAGAACTAGACATTGACCCTGACCTAAAGCAACACAGGGTAGAAAGGGAGATGGGGCATGTACAGAAATCTCTGTAATACTCAGGTCCTGGCCGTTACAGCCGTGTGGCTCTACGGCATCCTTAGTCACTGGGAGATGATAGTAATTGGAGAATCCAAATTGGAATCAGGAGCTCGGAGGTGGAATTTGGACTCTGACCTCAAATTTGGATGTTCCCCTCTTCTGAGCCACAGGTGCTGAGATGAAATCTAAGAGAGAACGAGCTCATTCATTCTTTCATTCAATTAAATCATTCATTCAGTCAGTCGGGGGCTATCTTAAGTACTCTGGACACAAAGACAAATAAAACTGGTCCCTACCCTCAGAAAGCTTCTCTTTGAAAGCTTGGAATCTGAGTCACCATGGGAACTTTTCTAAATACAGTTTCCCAGGCCCCCAGCCCAGACATACTGACTCTGGACCTCTGAAAGTGGTGCCCAAGAAACCCAAAGCTCAGATTCTAGGCATTCTCCAGTACAGGTCTGGTGGGATAACAAGCTAAGAGGAGGGAGGGCCAGAGATAAGAAAAGGATTCACAGCCCACCTCTTCCAGGAAGCCCTCCCTGACCAACCCAGCCCACACTGATCTCCGTGCCCTCTGAAACCAGCCTCCATTGCACATCCTGTATGTACTGAAGTTTTTCTGGGTGACAGGTGGGAGTGTATGAGTACTCCCATGTTCTCATGTTGATGATGTTCCAAGGTCATTGTGATGAGGGTTCCAGGGGCTTTGTGACACCACAGCTGGCTGGCTCTGTTCAGGTGAGGGAGGTCAGGAGAGACCTGGTTCCTCCTGGGAATGCAAATCATCCCTGAAAAAAGACAGATCACCTTCCCCTGCTAATTAAGCATTATTTAGGGCTCAGGGTGAGTTCCGTTCAGAGTCTGCTTTGAAGACAGCAAGCAGGGGCCATGACCACCCTCTCTCCTGAAAACAGCCTCTCGGCCAGGCGGTCAGCCTCCTTCATCCTGGTGCGTGTTCTTTATCTGTCTCTCCCTCCCCAACCTCTGGTTTGCAAGGGCGTCATTTCCCTCGCTAGGTGGGAAGGGCTAGACCCCTGAGCTGGCTTAGAAGGTGGAGCAGGGCTGGTACTACCTTGGCCTCGTCATCAGCACCAACAACAGGACTGAGAAACACCAGGTCCCCTCTCACCCTTCTCCCCAAGCCAGTGTTACCTTCTCCCCAGTTGTGGCATTCTAACTTTACTGAGTTTTAGGTTTGCAAGTTCAGTCCTGAAGAGGCTGCTTAAGTTTTCCTTGGTGCTTCTGCCAACAATTTTGGTATGCTGTCGCCAGGTGGCAGTAATGCTCTTGTTAGTGGGTGGTTCCAAGCCCAGTTAATAAGATTCATTAGACGTCGGCCTCAGTCACAAAAATTTTTCACACAGTATCTTCTTCAAAATTATACTAACTGATTATAATGACCTTAGCAACTCTCAAGACTCATTAATCACTGCGATTAAGAGAGTGATACATAAAAAGCAGAAATGCAAAATAGGCACCTCTCTCTCGGAGTTTTACATATTATTGGTTTATTGCAAATTTTCACCAGGCCTTGATTTTCATTTTCTTTATCTCTTTCTTCATTTCTCTGAACTTAGAGAAGGATAATAACTACAAACTCTCATCTAGCACGTATTATGTACAATGACTGTTCTAAATGCTTTATTTATAGTGATTCGTTCTCATCTCAACCCTATGTGATGGAAGTTGCTGTTATCCTCACTTTACAGATAAGAAAATTGAGGCACAGAGACTCAGTAATTTCCCAAAAGTCACACAGCTAGTAAGTGGCAGAGCTAGGATTTCAACGCAGGCGGTGGACTATAGGGTCTATCTTCTAAACCAGTGATTCTCCAAATGTGGCGTCCAGGTCTGCAGCATATGCATTCTCTGGGAATTTGTAAGAAATGCAGATTCTTGGGGCACACCCCAGATCTTCTGAACCAGAAACCCTGGGGGTGGGGACCAGTAACGCATGTTTTAGCCAGCCCTCCAGGTAACTCTGATATGCAGCTAGCTTTGAGAACCACTGCTTTTAACCATTCTCTTCATCACTATGCTATGTTGATGATGCACCCTGCACACCTGGGTTGATAATAATTACCCAGGTGACTTTTTCAAGTTGCACGTATGACCATCCCCTTCCCAATTTTAATGTGCCTGCCCTCCCAGGGCCATCCCCCTCTCCTTCTGGTGAGAATCATTGACAGAGTGAGCCACTGTTACTTTTGAGAATGTGCCTTGTCCCTCAGGTGGACTGGAGTGGAAAAGAGGTTGAGAACCTTAAACAGAGCCAGCGACCCTTCGCAGGATTTATCGGAGGCTCCATTACTTACGGGTATTCAGAGCAACTCGGCGTCAAAAACGCTCATAGAAAGTTTTCCTCATGCTCCGGTGCTTTTTCCACTTTACTAAAAAGAATGGAGAAAATTCTCGATCTAATGATGCAGAGGGGGAAATGGGGTGGGGAAATGCATGCCTGTAGCCAAGGCCTCTGGCAGCAGGAAGCTGTTAGGATATTGATCTTCTTAGGCTCACTTCTGGCCCCCTTCTCCAAAGGAAGCACCGGCAAGGTTTTCCCAGGGTCACTGGTGGAGAGCTTTAACCTGCTTAGGCACACCCTGAAGGTGGGAGGAGGTTTCTACAACTGCTCTACCTGGCAGTACTCTTGCCAAGAGACTAGAAAAGGAGCTCTACCGCAGAGCTGAAGGGCATCCAGCATGTCATGGACCACATATTTCCCCCTCATGGATTACCAGGCCGTTGTACCCAGAGGGTTGGACAATGTGTTGGCAGAGCAAGGAATGGGGGAATATGGGAGGATGAAGACTGTTTGAGACGCCGTTGAGTTGACAACCTCCATCACTTTGAAGGACCCCAGATACTGGTTCTCTGATTTCTGGCATAGACAGGGAGCATGGATGCATGAAAGAAGAGAGGGAGGGGGCTTCCCATGGGGACATTTTCCCTTTAGCTCTCTGCAGGTCAGCAGGCTTCTTGGGCTGGTCCTTGGCTTGCTAGCAAGTGTCTTGGACATTCTTGTGGGTGGCCTCTAGTTTGCTTAGGTTTGGAGGTGGGGTACAGGGAAGTGCTGGGCATAGAGGAATGGAATTTCCTGGAAGGAGGAGGCAGAAACCTTTTGTAAACCAATTCATGGCAAAGTAGGCAGATGGTCAATTGCGACAGGTAGAGGTTTAGAAATGCAAATTCTCTGAGCACTCAGCAGATGCCTGCATGTGATGTTTCTAATTATCTCTGCCATATTGTGTTGATGCCTCATCTGCCATTATGTTGTGCTGTGCATATTATTTTGATTCTAATATTGCCACCCTTTCCTTTTTTTACCTTTTTTACATATCTTTGTTAACCATTTATTTTATTTTTTAAATTAATGGACTTTGTTATTTTTTAGAGCAGTTTTAGGTTTGCAGAAAGTACTGTTTCCATACACTCCTTCTTTGCACCTCCACCCCGACACACACACTAAGTCCCCCCTATTACTAACAGCCTGCGTTAGCGGGGTACATTTGTTACTTTTGATGAACCAGTATTGATATATTATTATTACCTGAAGTTCATAGTTTACATCAGAGTTCATTCTTTGTGTTGTACAGTCCTATGGATTTTCATAAATGCATAACGTCATGTGTCCTTGAATATGCTAATTAACCCTCCTATGATCTCACTTCCCTGATTTGTATAACAGTGTCATAGCCATGCCTACCTCATAGGTAAGTTTCCCTGGTGGCACAGTGGTTAAGTGCTCAGCTCTTAACAGCTCCTAACCAAAAGGTCAGCAATTCAAACCCACCCAGCAGCTCTGAGGAAGAAAAGGACTGCAGGTCCCAGGTTACAGCCTAGGAAGCCCTATGGGCAGTTCTACTTTGTCATATAGGGTCACTATGAGTCGGATTTGACTCAACTGCACACAACCACAGCACCCTCATAGACGGTTGTGAGGAAATGAGTTTAAATACATAATGCACTTAGAACAGTGCCTGGCACATCATCAGTTCTTTTTAAGTGTTTACAATTACTAAGAGAATTTAATACATTTATTTCATAATTTTTTGTTCAGATTTTTATTGTTTTTATGCTTTATGTTTTTGTTAATTTCTTGCTCTTTCCTGCATTATTTGGTTTTATCTTTAAAAGTGAGTTAGAAGAACCTTTCTGATTTTTATTTATTCATTCTTATCTTTTCTTCCTCTTCCCCTTTCTGTTTTTCTCCATTTCATAGTCTCTCATCTCTCCACTCCAACGGCAAGCTCTTCTAGCATTCTTTTTTGTTTGTTTTGTATGTTTTTGGCTCCTGTTCCTCTCTCCTCTCTCCCATATCCATCTTAGCTCCACACATAAAAATCTCCCCGC